AAACTTGTCCCTAGTGATACTTTGACCCCTGAACATGAATATGACATCCGGGGCCAAAACCGTCGCGAGCCTTGTACACGGAGTTATTTGACATCCTTATTACGAATATGGCATTTATTCTTGCCGCCGGCGCTAACGTAGGACACTATGGTCATCTGCGCTTTGCTAAGACTGAGCCTGGCCTGAAGGGAAACCCTCGTTTTCCCACGTTCGGCCTCTACAGAACGCTTAATGGCGCTGGTATGGAGGAATAACTGCCATACTGGTGAAAAGGGCATCGAACAACCCTATTACACAGGTTCTCATCGATTCTGGGAGGAGAGGCCCTGGGTGGCGGCGGTGGATTAACTGGAAAGTTAAGTAAATTGTAAGATGTTAACTTCAATCTTTCGAATTTCATTTCGATTTTTTTTTTGAGTGGAGAATTCCAGAAAACCAGGAGATGCCTGGCTCTGGCGAGACTGATGACGCAAAAAGTGCGCAGATAAATTGACAAAAAGAACTCGGGTAAGATCAGGAGATTCGAACTGCGGCGACGTGGTTAATGGGAAATGACATGCGCGCGCCATTCACACCAAAACTTGAAAGCAGTGTAGCCGAATCAACCAACTAGACAGTACCGCCCGCTCTGAGCAAATATCACCGTCGAATTTTGTTTTGTAATTGCTTTGTTAAGTTTGCGTAGCCACAGTTCGAATCCCACACAAGTCGCCTCTAACTCACCATTGACTCCGTTACCTACTGGATAAGGTGGAGGCGTATCCAACGGTGGTGCCGAAGGCTGTTCGCTTGACGACGGCAGTGGCACGTCCATTGATGGTGCTGACGGTTGTGGTGCAACATAAGGGTTTCTCACTGGGATCGTTCCCACGATTATATGGCAATGAGTGCACACATCTCCTTTGAACGAGGCTTGAGTCTTGAGTTTTACCTGAAAAAAAAGTTCAGCCGCCTGAAATGAGGAAAAAAAGAAACAAGTGGGTGCGCCGAGAATTCAGTGACATCGTCGCCGTTGAAAGATGTCGTATCTGTTGTCTCGCTAGTTTGCACGCTCTCTCGCTGCTCTTGTCTGGTATCTCACTCAAAATCCGCTATGCATCTTTATCTCTCGCTCAAAAGAAGGAGGGCTTCATTGAGAGCGCTTCCGACAAGTTTTCCTGGCTTTTTTTCACGGAGAAGTCGACTGGCACATACACTTCTCATTTTCGAACCCTTCCATCCATGAACTTGTCACCCACATATCACAAAGTCTGCTTCAAAAGCAATTTCCATGATAATGCGGCGGGCAGATTGACTAACTAGGGAAGGTCGTCAGGTCGAAGTGGCCATTTGTAATGAGATGTAGCTCACTAGACGTGGTTTTGGACGCTGATCTCGAATCTGCCTTCGAAATTTGCAGAACGATTCTAAACGCTACACAAAGC